CATGTTATCACTGTGCCCGTTTTTTGCTTTTATTCTTTGTTCCGCAAAGTGCGCTCTTTTAGTTTGTAGTGATGTGACAATATATATATATAGATTTTCGATTCCAATCCGGTTGGTTGGTTCGGCCGAGCATATGTCCAGAGTGCAGAATTGATTGCACAGGCTCTTTCTTCTTGTAATTAACTTCAGGTAACCTAACGGTCACCCACATACTTGCTCCATACTTGCTCCATTTCTGTCTGGGGACCTCAGAAGATAGGACTGGCTGCTACACTACGCAGGAAACACGAACAATGGTGAGCACATCTTCAAACAGAAGGTGAGAGAATACATCCCTCACTGTTCATTCATTACTGCAGCAGAGGTTTTTGGCCGCTTTCTGTGTGAAGATACATTTGTCAATTTTCTTGTTGCAGTAGGACTGTGGCAACGCCAGTACACCGGGGCCTGGAGGGGCGTCACTGCGCGCCAAGCATTTCCGAACCGCCAGAGGCAAACTATCTTTCTGTTTTGGGTGGCGCCAGGCATTTTTGGGTGGTCCGGTAGGCCGAGCCTCCAAAAATTTTGTAGGCAACGAGTTGCATTTTCAGCACGGCTGGGGCCATGTACTGGCGGTTCAAGCCATTCAGTTCATTCCTGATGAGCGTATAGGAGTGGTCAGCGTGTACACCTTTTCAGCGCAGGCATTCCAGACGGTTGCCTTTACACATCTAGATGTGTATAAGAGAAAGGTAGACGACAAGCACCGATGCTCGCCAAGCACAACACGGGAAGAACCAAAAAGAGAGAGAGAGAGAGAGAGAGAGAGAGAGAGAGAGAGAGAGAGAGAGAGAGAGAGAGAGAGAGAGAGACATGAAACGAAAATAAGATGCCATCAACGAGTGTTGCTGTGCGCCACGGCGTAGCCGTGGCGGGGTCCACTTGTTGAACTAAAGCACAAGAAGGGTTGCTACAATCGAGTAGCAGACACCCTTTTTCGTAGGACTATGCTCTCTTCCTAATCTCCTTTAGTCACTCTTTTGGAGAGAAGACTCGTCAGACCATTGCCCAGCTACTGCCTCAGGAACCGATTTTTGGGCCTACAGTGAGGAACCTGCAGGCTGATCCTGCCTCTGAACCAGGTTACACTCTGGTTTCAGTACTGCTGTATACTTGCAGTAGAGGTGAGGAGTGTCTATGTATTGCTCAAGATCGCAAGCTAAGAACACTCTTTATGTCAGAGTGTCATAATGCTCGTGGTCATTTTGGAGCCCTCAAATCTTATGCGGCCCTATCGCAGAGGTTCTTTTGGAAAGAGATGAAAAGTGACCTGATGCACTATCATGTTGAAACATGTGAGTTGTGCCAAAGGAACAAGGTCATACACAGACCTCCCCTTGGCCTACTCAAACCACTTCCCATTCCTGAGGCACCTGCACAATCAGTGTCTATTGACTTTACTGATCTGGTTAGGACCACTCCTCGTGGTATGCGTCAGGTTATGGTTTGTGTGGACAGGTTATCCAAGTATGCAGAATTCATCCCTTTGCCAGGAGAAGCCAAAGTTCCTGCCGTTCAAGCAGCATTCGCCGACAAGTGGGTCACACATCATGGACCACCCACCTTTATTGTCAGTGATCGAGATCCCCGCTTTTGCAGCCATGAATGGAAGTCCTACTGTAAGGACTACCTTCATTCATGCTTGGATATGACATCTGGTAGTCATCCTGAAGCCAATGGACAGGCTGAAGTGATGAACCAGATTCTATTTCAGTTGCTGCGTCCTGTGATCAGTCAAAATCAGCAAGACTGGGATCTGCATCTGAGTCGTGCACAACTTGTGTACAACACATTGTCCACTCTTCCACTGGTTTCACACCCTACAGGTCATACTGGGGCCGTGAACCTCAGCAGCCTCTCGATGATATCATCGATAAGGCTACCCCTACACTGACACCTGGAACCGCAAAGTTCACTAGGCATTATCGTGTGGATATAGAGCGCGCCCGTGCCAACCTGCTCAAAGCCCAAAAGGCTATGATTCAGCAGGCTAATAGGCACCGTCGTCCTACTACTATTCGCACAGGTGACTGGGTTTGGGTGCTCAGTTCTAAGCTATCACGTGAAGAGGACATCTCGCCTAAGTTGTTGTCACGATACATGGGTCCGTGATAGGTTTTAGATATAGTGGGAGCTGATCCTTTCGGACCATCCTATACTGTTGACGTCTCCCTGCATCTACAAACATATCCGGTCTTCCATGCATCTAAGTTGTTGCCTTTTACCTCAGCTGATGCATTTATGGACAGACCCCCTCAATTCGGTCCACCGATCCCTAGCAAGGGATATGAAGCGGAATCGATTGAGGATGAGATGGACACAGGCCCAGACATGCATTATCTTTTGAAGTTCTTGTACCAGCCTCACACTGAGGATCGCTGGTTTACACACAGGGCACTCCTAAAGACAACAAAGTCTGTTTTCCTCAAGTACGAGGAAGCTAAGAGGAGACAGTACCCTCGACGCTCTGCACGCCTGCACTCCTAGCTCGGAGGTCCTCGCTCTGGGGACGGTAGGTCTGCAATGACTTGCTGATTCTGCAGCCTGCGACCCATCGACCTGAGGCTGTAACATAGGTAGGATAGATTCACTATTTTGTTTGGCTGAGGGCTAACCAAAATATCTAACTGTGAGGAAAATCCGTGAGCGACATATCTGTAATTTGGGAAAATTGCAGGCCCAGACTAACTCGAATTTCCTGAAACTACCCTAACTGCGAATAGCAGGCCCGGGCTACCCCTAGGACAAACAGGCCGTGAGGCCTAGGCTGCTAGACGGTTGCTATAGCCTATAGCCAGGTAGGGAGAGGCCCTAGAGGCCGAACTGAAACGACACCGGTCAGTCCAGCCAGTCCGGTCTAGGTCGTGTCTAGGCTAGGGTAGACTATGAATAGGTGTAGGGAAAACTGTTTGAGGCTTTTTGGCAGTTGGTACCGTGCACATCGCAACGGCGCAGCGCATGAACTGGAAGTGGTGACAGTTTCAGCGTTGAAGGAGACAGACATAGCCAGACCTCGAAGCGTTGGCCATAGCTGGGACCTTCGGTGTTCTCTGACAGCACACGGGGCTGTCCAGAGGTCGGGGCTAACTGAAGTCTGCTGGAGGCAGGAGAAGTTGGTGCCCTGCTGAACCCTCCTCAGGAGTAGGGTGTCAGGGTCTGTGGCACTGCAGCCATAGCTGCAGCTTTCATCCTCCGAGATCATATCTGTCAGGAGAGGTGGCGCTGCTGCAGACTTCCATCCGGGAAGTCTTCTGGCCGTTCATCATCATCCGAGACAATGGCGCTGGTCTTCTTCTTCATCCTCTGAGAGGCGCTTGGCCTCAGAGGCCCGTTTCATGTTGGCGCTTCCCTCTGGAGGCAGTATCTGGGTGGTGCTTGTTGTTTCAGGGACTCAGGGGTAGTGATAGCGGTTATTCAGGGTTGGGGGAAGAAGCATTGCTGATCTCTGAGCAGCGCACCATGGTTCTGGGGCAATTCTGACAAAACGATGTTCGGAGTTTAATAAACAGTGTTAATACCTTTCTTGGTCTTTTGGCTAAGATCAAGTGTAGTTTCTGTCCTGATCAGTTTAATATCTGATCCTTAAAATAAAATAAAAAACAGTGTTAATACTGTGTGTGAACTATCTTTGCTTCATTGTTTTCTGGATGTGATCTACTCGGCTTTCCTTGTGACTGGTTGTGAGGACTCTGTGGAGTGAATTTCCGCTGTGTTTCTATCTCCCTGTGTGGTGTGATACTCCCATCCTCTCTCCTTCCTTCTGTGTATGTATGGGCATACCTGGAAGTCTATGTGAGCGAGTGTTGGTCTTCTGACAACAAACAACCAGGTTCATAACAAACATGTGCTGGGAACCGGGCCCAATGTCCCATTCAAGAAAATTATGCAGAACACTTCAAGATACTGAGTCCATAACCTGGCTTCAGCTAGGAATGATAGCTATGCAATCTACACAAGAAAACTTAGATTCTTTACTCCCAAAGCCTTGATCCATAGGAACTTCCAGACGGAAAACCACCTGCCTTAGTGCCTTTCAGCGGCCCAACTCTACCCGCCTCTCCCCTATATCCCAGTACCCAATCTTTCATTCTTTTTTCTTTCTCAAAGGAGACCTTTTCGGCATGCTAGTATAGTCGTTGATCCTTTTTTCTTTTTTTTAACGCTCCCATCTATTCGTTTCTGACAAATTGAATGTGTCGGATTACGTGATGTTGTGTCGTGTGTGCAGCACCTGGGTCTTTTCTGTACAGCCACAACTTCACTCGTCCTGGAAGGTACACCTACAGATGTTCGGAGTTTCCAAATGAGATGCAAGGAACAGTGGTAGTCATTGATCGATGACAAAGTGAGGAGACTCAGTGTGGGGACTTGGTGTGGTTTTAGAAAACGGAAACAGAAAAGAAAAGGAAAGAGGGTGGTGGTGATGAAGAGGATGAGGAGTCGAGCTTTCGACCAAGCTATATGGTGTGCATGAAGATAATGAAGGAGACGATGCCGTACACTATGTCAGGCTTCTTACGACTGCAGAGAGCCCCGCAGGGGGATGGAGATTGCGCCAGGTGGCTAGACAGCCATGTGAAGATGAGCTGATTGGGAATGTGGATGCACCATGGGCTGGAATGGAGTGTTAGCGAAGAGAGAGACATTGGCGGCAAAAGCTTATGGATGCGAGGAAGCACAGAGACGATCTGGACAGTGAGAGAAGCACGTGTACTATATGCGGTGGAGGCGGCGCCAGAAGTCACCGGTTCAGAGTTCAAACCCCGGTTTTTCCCAGGGGTGATCGAACATATCTGTGGAGAGATGTGGGCATGGATGGCGAAAGCGGAGGGCATCCGTTTGTTTGAAAGGCTTGGACGGGTAATAAGAGGGGTCGAGGGTGGAGGGGATGGCCAGGGATGGTTGGCTGACAGGGGAAAGGATAGGAATGTGAGGGAGGAGGAGGAGGAGAACCCCTTTCGTTTTTTCTCTCTTTGTTTTCTGTGTGTTCACTGCAAACACAATCGGCAGACTGGACATGAACATGCAGATAGAAATGCGTGCTCTTGCGCCTCATGTCAACCTCTCCACCGCGGCTACGGAAAGAAGTTCAAGGCTGTGAGGCGAGTATGGCCATACTTGCGCTTAATAGTCTATGGCAGTGAGGCAGATTCTAGAAAGTCCTACTGTGAGTACACCCTAAGAGAGCATCACGAATGACGAGGAAGGTGCGTGTGTATTTACCCGCCGCCCTGATGTGAAATGTGGAGGGCAATGTGGACATGTTTTCTTGGGTGTCATTGTGCTGTTTCTGGGCCAGGATGGTTGTTTAGCATGCAATCCTTTAAGACAGCTGCACTTGGCTCCCCTCTAAGTGTAACGGGAGTAGGGGTATCCTCTTGCAATGGTGAGAAAGAGAGCAACGCTGGATGTGGTCTGGGTGTCTGGTGGAATCGGCAGAATGGCGTTAAACTGCGTTGAGTGGCGTTTTGCGGTTCTACCCTGCCCCTACCGGCATTTTACGGTGCTACCCTGCCCCTACAACCGTTCTACCATTGAACAGGGTCTGCCGACGGGTTTTGGTAGAAGCCACTAGGCTTGTGGGGTTGAGGATACCAGAGCAACACTGGATGTGGAGGCTGAGTGTCTGGTAGAACGGGCAGAATGGCGTAGTGAACTGCGGTTGAATGGCATTCTACCCCCCCCCCCCATTCTACCATTGAATGGAGTCTGCGAACGGGTTTTGGTAGAACTCGCTAGGCCTGTGAGGGTGAGGATACCAGGAGAGTGGAGGGTAACACGGATCTGTTTTCTTGGTGCGCCGATGTGTTCTTTCTGGACCAGCTGAGGGTGGTTATTTAGCATTCAGTCCTTCTAGGAAAGCTGCAGCTGGCTCCCTTTGAAGCTTGATGAGAGTAGGGGGCATCCTGTTGGTGAAAAAGAGAGCGTCGCCCAGATGTGGAGGTTAACGCGGAGGTGTTTGCACGGGGGTTGTCAATGTGCTCTTTCTGAGGCCAGGGTTGTTGTTTAGTGTACAATCTTTCTACGAGAGCTGCAGCCAGCTCCCGTTAAAGTTTAATGAGAGTAGGTGTATCCGGCTGGTGGGAAAGAGCATCGCCCCATCAACTGGCGATGGTTGGTGTTTACTCGCAGACGAGGTGTGTGTACTTGCAGCCTGATGTGCAAAGTAACATGGAGGCGTTCTTTCAAGGGTCTTGTTTAGCGTAGAATTCTCCTGAGGCAAGTGTAACCGTAGACTTTACCACTTTTCTTCCTTCTGGCATATACGCTTTATTGATGACATTCGGCAACATGATCCCCAAGCTGCTCAGCGATACGCCTTCACTTACCGCCTCATTGATGATGTTCTTTCATGGGGGCAATTACCTCCTCCTTCAGACCTGTCTCTTATACACATCTAGATGTGTATAAGAGACAGGGCCATGCGCGGAGGGGTATCGAAGGTAGACATAG